AGTGTTCCTCTTGAATTGTATAGGTACTAATATATCATTTTGAAATACCAATATGGACACTTTAAGTACAAATGTTTACTTTTTGAAAAGGTACCACCCCAGTGACAGCTCACGTACCTTTATTTATGAGAGTGTAGATTAGCATAGTTTAACGTTAAATCTAAGAAGTTAACAGCATTAAAAATAATATAATACAGAAATTTAGTGTTTTCATATTGGAGGCCATATTGGAGAGCAGAATGTAAACAATGCTACCATGCAAAGCAATAGCATGGTTAAATTGCGTACCTTAAACTACTCTTTAATTTGAAATTTTCCAATAGTTTTACTACAAATAGAGCCAAAAATATGTTGTTTTTGTTTTAAACAACATATTTTTGGCTCTATTTGTTGTAAAACTATTGGAAATGTTCATATGGATTGACATAATATTTGTAAAGCCACAGTTTTACACCTAATACAATGATTAGCAATGAGCATAGCATTTTCTTGTGGAGAGTTCATAGAAATATACACTAGATATCGCTAAATGCACTAAATGCAATCTGAAGATGCTGAACGTTTACAGATATAGTAATGAGCAAATAAAGAAAACAAAGTGTAAAGGCAGAACAAATCATACGCTCTCAGAAATAAAGGTATGCGAGTGAGCTGTCACTGGGGTGGTGCCTTTTCAAAAGGTAAACATTTGTACCTAAAATGTCCATATTAGTACCTAAAGGGTATTTATTAGTATCTAAAAAGTACAGAAGTGTTCCTCCTAAAATTTGTAGGTACTAATATATCCCTGCTGAAAAATCCAGCTTAAACCAGCCTTTGCTGGTTGGCTGGTTTCAGCTGGTTGACCAGGCTAGTTTTAGAGGGGTTTTGGACATTTCCAGCCTGGTCTTAGCTGGTCAGGCTGGAAAATGACCAGCCAAATCCAGCTAAAACCAGCTTGACCAACCTGGTTTAAGCTGGACATAGCTGGTTTTGGCAGGACTCCCAGCTTGGCTAGGCTGGTCAAGCTGGTTTTAGCTGGTCATCTCCCAGCCTGACCAGCTAAGACCAGGCTGGAAATGGCTGGAAACCATGCCTGGAAGTGGCCAAAACCCCTCTAAAACCAGCCTGGTCGACCAGCTAAAACCAGCCGACCAGCCTAGGCTGGTTTAAGCTGGATTTTTCAGCAGGGATACTTTTGAGGTACCATTATGGTACCAATATATCAAGTACAAATGTTTGGTAACCCAAACTACCCAGTGTCAACTCTTGTACCTTTATTTCTGAGAGTGTAGGTAAGATTTTGTTTATTACGATTTTGTATGATATGAACATTTGTGCTCAACAAGTAACTCTATTGACGATAATACAGACACGTACTGCAGTGACCATAAGGCAAAGCAGCGCTAAATACTAGGCTTATGCTGGTTTGATATGCGCATTGAGCTGCAGGGATTCGTTCATAACGGGGATTCATTCACAAACGAATCGCTCCCTCTGTTAGAATGAGAAGTGAACGCAGGAGTTATGTGATATATATGTGTATATGGCTCCAGATGGCCAGTCCTCCTCTGCACCTTGATCTCACATTCATTTCAAAGGAGCGCTACCCTGTACCAAAATGGCGGTTCTATTGACGCATTCCTTCCAATAGACAACAACAGTGTAGGCGGCATCTAATTTAAATATCTATGTAGACATCTATCTCATGCTTTAACTACAACAACAATGCTTTATTTGTGGCTCATTTCCAGACTAATCTTATACTAATACTTAAACTGAAAGGCTTGCAAAACACAAAACAACTACGACTACAGGCTGCATATTTAAAATGAACGCACTCCATGACCTTGACATTCCTGGTTGAGCAATGTAGAAGCACTGAACTCCCCATACCTTCCCAGGCCAAGTCCAGGATTGATGCGATATAAAGAACATATGTTTCAGTGTGACGCCATTGGCTTTATTGGTTATACTTCATAAAACAACTTGATTTAAACTGGAAGGCGGAAAATGCGCTCATCTTCATAATAGGATCTGCAGGTTTTACGATGTCGCCCTGCAAATGGAGATTCTTCGGTGATGTTTTTATGGCCGTGCTGTTGTCTTGTGGGATTCCTCGTGTGTCAGGCGCTAATGTGAACGATCCTATCATTGCAGCACACTATGAGGACTGAGGGAAGGAAAATAAATGAGAGCACAAGAATCCATTAGTTGTAGTTTCAGCACATCTCATCTGGATGCGGGCACACGTGCTCGGCGGATGGATGATGTCCACGCTGAAAATCTGCCTGCTTAAATTTGCACCTAACTGAGAATCAAGTTATTAGCCTGACAAAGTAGTGTTGTTGTCCAATTGCAATCTGCAAGTCAGGGCTGGAGGGGCGTCTGGGGAATCCCGGTTTAGAAAGAAAGAAAGAAAGAAAAGCAATGAATGGAAAGCATCTCTGTGAAGGAGAATTCAACACATCTCAGGCTGGAGCAACACTGCGCCCTGCTGGAACACACACTGATTTCACATTGACACATAGAGATATACTGAGATATACAGTAAGCAAAGTGTTTTTCAGCCACTGATAAACTTCCTGGGAAAGATGAATGTGACTATTTTTATAGTTTCTTTTACAGCATCGATGTTGTAATGTAATTAAAATATAATTTGTTAAACAGACTTCAGCATGCGTTTAGTTTTTCAAGCTGTTGTTTTGGCTGACTGAAAATGAAAAGGTCATGTGCAGATACCCTACTGTACCAGTAATATTTCTTTTTTGTTGTGTAAAATAAAATAAACATGATCTAAAAAATATATTTAAAATAATAATACATTATTGCATTATGAAATCAGCCAAAGTTGTTTAATGTAAATATATATATATATATATATATATATATATATATTATTATTATTATTATTATTATTTTGAATTTATATTTATTTATTTTTGGAAGATATAAATAATGATTATTCAAATTAAAATATAATATTAATTTAATACAAATTATTTGTGAATTTCAAAAGCAATTTCAGAGTATTTTTATCAGGACATATAATAAAAAAACACACAGTGCTCAGCATATATAAGTACAGCCTTCACAAATGATAACGCTCCAAAAACTAGTACCACAAAATACATGTGGTATAGAAAAATATTAAATAAATTTTAAAAAAGAAGAAATATCAAGAGAAGCAAAAAAAAAAAAAAAAAAAACAAGAAAAGAAAAGAAAAATTTGGTTGACATTTTGTAGGTTGCATTTTTTATTTTTTTTTTTTTGCAATATTTTGCTTAAATTTAATGGTATTATCTTTTAATTTCTAAATATGTTTGGTGACTAAAATATTATTTTAATACATACATCTGTTTAATAAATCTGTTTTGTTAACTGCACCAAAATACATTGCCTATATTCACAAAAAAATGAGAATTTAGTTTAATATATTACAAAAATAAAACTGAAATAATAGTTTAGAAATATATAGAATAATAAGTATATAATATAATAGGTGACGCAGTGGCGCAGCAAGAAAGTCGCTGTTTCAAACATGCTGGTTCATTAAGCTGTGGCGACCCCAGATTAATAAAGGGACTAAGCTGAAAAGAAAATAAATTAATATAATATAATATAATATAATATAACATTATATAATTTAATTTAATATATAATATAATATAGTATAATATAATATAATATAGTATAATATAATATAACATAACATAACATAACATAACATAACATAATATAATATAATATAATATCTAACTAACATTACAATAACAAAATAAAATCTAAATGATAAAAAACAGGGCTTAAATTCCAAAGAAACAAACAAAAGTTTTAAGATGTTGATACTTTATTAACACTAGTATTATATCACAAGGAAAATGTCTAATTTCTCCTTAAAAATAGTAAAGAATTCACAAATCCCTTTTGTTACTGCAGGTAATTGACAGTAATGCATTTATACTATTTACACCACACGGGACCTGACAAAACAGCAGAGGCCCTTAAACTAAACATTTTCAACACACACATTATACATGGTAAAGAAATGAAAACAAAACATGTCTAATTAGTTAAATAATACAATCATTTGTCTAATAGATCATGATAAATTAACACAGATGTTTAAAAGTCATTTATGGAGCAGAAATTATTTTTTCTGGAAGGACAGCCGCTGTGTAAAACATATGCTGGAATAGTTGGCGGTTCATTCCGCTGTGGCGACCCCTGATGAATAAGGGACTAAGCCGCAGGAAAATTATTACATTTAAAAAAACAATAACTGAATTATTATTTTCATAAGATTCATATTGACTTTAGTCAGTTTAAATGCCAAATTTAGAACATATACAGCAGCTATAACTCATAATTCCCATGATTAATATTTAAAACTCCCTGACATTTCCACTTTTCAAAGATTCTGGATTTCAGCAGACCGGTAAAGTCTAAAAGAGATACAGCTGCAGCCGAGAGGTAATGAGAATTATTTATATTATTATAATAATATGAGGAAGCACGGGGGCTCAGTGGTTAGCACTGTGGCCTCACAGCAAAAAGGTCTCTGGTTCGAATCTCAGCTGGGTCAGTTGGCGTTTCTGTGTGAAGTTTGCATGTTCTCCCCATGTTGGCGTGGGTTTCCTCCAGGTGCTCAGGTTTCCCCCACAGTCCAAACACAGAAATGACAAGTGGCCCAGCTGGGACTAGAACCAGCGACGTTCTTGCTGTGAGCCCACAGTGCTAACCACTAAACCACTCAGTGTACAATTAATGTGTAACTTAATAAATAATATTAATACTGTAACTCTCATTAAATTCAGGCCACAGCTGTATCCCTTTTTGCAACAACCAAGCAGTACTGTGCTGCTGGAGGTCTACATGGTGTTGTGTTGGTGGAGGTCTACATGGTGTTGTGTTGGTAGAGGTCTACATGGTGTTGTGTTGGTGGAGGTCTACATGGTGTTGTGTTGGTGGAGGTCTACATGGTGTTGTGTTGGTGGAGGTCTACATGGTGTTGTGTTGGTGGAGGTCTACATGGTGTTGTGTTGGTGGAGGTCTACATGGTGTTGTGTTGGTGGAGGTCTACATGGTGTTGTGTTGGTGTAGGTCTACATGGTGTTGTGTTGGTGGAGGTCTACATGGTGTTGTGTTGATGGAGGTCTACATGGTGTTGTGTTGGTGGAGGTCTATATGGTGTTGTGTTGGTGGAGGTCTACATGGTGTTGTGTTGGTGGAGGTCTACATGGTGTTGTGTTGGTGGAGGTCTACATGGTGTTGTCATATGTTGGGGTGGAGTACTGCGGGGACTGTGGGTTCTGCATGGCTCCAGTTGCTGCACTCAGAGCCGCCTGCTGCGCTGCCTGCTGAACATGAGGGTTTTTCCAGGCTCCAGACACCCACTCCTCCTGCGCTTTACTCATGCTGGCTCCACTGCCACGGTAGAAGTTATGAACCTGCACACAATAATGTATTAGTCAGATATTAGAGGCAGATTATTTCAGTTGAGCTCAGAATATCAACAAACCCTTTTCACATATCCGAGTTTCTCAGTAGCGGAAGTCGTCATAGCTGGGTAAACCTACAACGCAGTGAATGGAAACACTGCAATATTCACTAATGTTTTATATGAGACCAGCCACTCTATTGGGTACTTCAGTACAAACTGCTTGTTAACGCAAATTTAAGTGACTTTGAATATGGCATGGTTGTTGCTGCCAGACGGGCTGCTCTGAGTATTTCAGAAACTGCTGATCTACTGGGATTTTCATGCATGACCATCTCTAGGGTTTACAGAGAATGCTCCAAAAAAAGAGGAAATATCCAGTGAGCGGCAGTTCTGTGGGCTTGTGGATGCCAGAGGTCAGAGGAGAATGGCCAGACTGGTTCCAGCTGATAGAAAGGCAACAGTAACTCAAATAAGCACTCGATACAACCGAGCTCTGCAGAAGAGCATCTCTGAACACACAACACGTCCAACCTTGAGGCGGATGGGCTACAGCAGCAGAAGAGCACACCGGGTGCCGCTCCTGTCAGCTAAGAACAGGAAACTGAGGCTACAATTCACACAGACTCACCAAAACTGGACAATAGAAGATTGGAGAAACGTTGCTGCTCTGATGAGTCTCCATTTCTGCTGACACATTCGAATGCTCGGCTCACAATTTGGCCTCAATAACATGAAAGCATGGATCATCCTGCCTTGTATCAGCGGTTCAGGCTGGTGGTGGTGGTGTAATGGTGTGGGGGAGATTTTCTTTGGGTCCATTAGTACCAATTGAGCATCAACGCCACAGCCTACCTGAGTATTGCTGCTGACCATGTCCATCCCTTTATGAGCACAGTGTCTCCATCTTCTGACGGCTACTTCCAGCAGGATAACGCAGCATGTCATAAAGCTCAATCATCTCAGACTGGTGTCTTGAACATGACGATGAGTTCACTGTACTCAAATGTCCTCCACAGTCACCCGAGCTCAATCCAATAGAGCAGCTTTGGGATGTGGTGGAACGGGAGATTGGCATCATGGATGTGCAGCCGACAAATCTGCAGCAACTGTGTGATGCTATCATGACAATATGGAGCAAAATCTCTGAGGAATATTTCCAGCAGCTTGTTGAATCTCTGCCAAGAAGGATTAAGGCAGATCTGAAGGCAAAAGTGGTCCAACCCGGAACTAGTAAGTTGTTAAGATGCTTACTGAAATGCAGTATTACTTTGAAACAGTGTCTAACTCTTTTACAAAAAAGGCTTTAAAAACAACTGAAATTTGTAAATTATATAATCTTTTTCTTTAACTTGTAATGTATTTACCCCTCCTGTTTTTTTGTTGTTTGTTTGTTTATTTTTTTGTTATCTGTTGTTGTTTCTTTTTCCAAAATTGTTGCTCTTTTTGTCTCTTTGATTTCTTGTTAACATACTGTGATTATATATTCTCACTTTCGTATATTAATAAAAAAAAAATTTAAAAAAAGTTGTTAAGGTGTACCTAATAAAGTGGCCGGTGAGTGTATATATATAAATCAGAAAAGTTGAGATTTATTTTAGTGATTCCTAAATTTACACTGGCTTGTATTTCATTGCAGACAATACAACAAACATCATTTAATGTTTTCCTCATTATTATTATTAGTTTTTTTTTTTCACAAAATAAACACGTGTTCCAATTTTGGTTCTTGCAACGCATTAAAAAAAGGTATTTAGGGTGAGGTCCTGCATGTTTTTGTTCCAACCCCAATTAAACACACCTGAACTAGCTAATCAAGCTGTTTCTAGGTACTATAAAGCTCCAGGATGGTGTGTTGAATGAAGTTGGAGCTAAACTATGCAGGACACCGGCCCTCCAGGACCGAGTTTAAGGATTAAAGACAGCAAGTGATGCAGGTGTAATTCTGTCCCATTCTTCCTGCAAACAAGTCTTAAGGTTGGCAACAGTACGGGATCTTCGTTGTCATATTTTGCGCTTCAAAATGCGTCACACATTCTCTATTGAAGACAGGTCGGGACTGCAGGCAGGCCAGTCCAGTACCTGTATCGTGTTCCTCCGCAGCAGGACTCTGTAATGTGTGCAGAATGTGGCTTTGCATTGTCTTATTGAAGCATGCATGGAGAAGAAGGCAGCATACTTTGCTCCAGAATCTCTCTGTACTGTTCAGCATTAATGGAGCATCAGTTACCATTGCCAAGGGCACCGACACAACCCCATACCATGACAGACCCTGGCTTTTGGGCTTAACAGTCTGGACGTGCCAAGATTTATAGGCTGTTTACTGCCATTTTTACTGGCTTTATATTGTCTCTTCAGGCACAGATACTATGGTAAATAATTTATTTACTCTCAGATCTAATTAACAAGCACTACATGCTCCAGCGGCAGAGTTAATGACACTTCACCCCCCCACACACACACACACGCACGCAGTCTTCTCTAGACTGCATCTCCTGGCACACAGACGACTGCACAGCAAATGAGGCTCACACACAGTCTGTCCGGCTGTAATAGATGTGTGTTTGTGCGAGCGCATGTAGAGCATAGTAATGTGTGTGTGAGTGCATGTGTGTGTGTAGTGTAGATGTCTGTCTTGCTGTATTATGTGTGTGTGAGTATCTGTGACATCTGTCCCGCTGGTATATGTATATGTGTGTGTGTGTGTGTCTGTTTGGAGCAGAGATCTATGTCCTGCTGTAATATGTGTGTGTGCATGTGTGTGTGTGAATATATGTGTGGAGTAGAGACGTCAGACCCTCTGTAATATGTACTGTAATGTGTGTGTGTGTATATGTGTGTAGCAGAGACGTCTGTCCCACTGTAACAAGTGCTGTAATGTGTGTGTGTACCTTCGTTAGTGCAAGGAAGGAGATGACGGAGACGGCGGTGAACATGAGTGTAGGGATCAACATGATGATGGAAGCAAAGATACTGGTGCCGAAGAAGGAGATGGTGCCCAACCAGCCACTAGAACAGGACGGAGAACAGAGCAACATGCAAACTACATGCAATACTCCAGCATCAACAGGCAGGGCTGTGTGTTAGGATACAGAATGCTGCATTGTATTCATGCCTATTATGTGTATGCAGTTGCGCTTGAAGTCTCTTACCAAACACCCCATCCTGGAATACCGATGGCCTGAATGATAGCGATGAAAAGTTGTGCCATGAAGACAAAGAAGAACGCCATGAAGTAGAACGAGCTGTCAGTCCTGAAACAAATAATAACAACATACTGTGCAAATAATTCAATAAACTAATAAATGGATATTAAACTGCTATGCTAAATGTATAATAATTAAATTAAGAGTTATTATTAATTTATAAAATGTATTTTATTAATATTATTTCACATTTGCATTGTTTATTTTAGAAGTTATTTAATAACAACAATAATAATATTAATATTAATAATGCAAACTTATACTGAACCCATTATTATTATTATTATTATTTTATTTTTATTATTATTAATATTATTATTATTATTATTTATAATATTATTGTTGCTAAATACATTTCTAAAAATAAAATGACTAAAAAATAAACAATAAAAACATGATAATTGGGTAAGAACAATTGATAATAGTAAAAATAATAATTTTAATAATAATAATAATAACAACTACTTTTTCTAATGTAAAATCTTTGTAAATTGCTAATAATAATCTATTATAAATCATAACAATAATAATAATTTAATATCACAATTATTAACATTTATATTTATTTATTTTACATTTTTATTTTAAATATTAATAAATTATTTTATATTAATTATATTATTAATTAATTATTAAATATTAATATTCATCCATTTTCTTTTTAGCTTATTAATCTGGGATGGCCACAGCGGAATGAACCACCAACTAATTCAGCATTTGTTTTACACAGCGGATTGCCTTCCAGCCACAACCCATCACTGGGAAACACCCATACACACTCATTCACACACACACACTTTGGACAATTTAGTCTACCCAATTGACCACATGTTTTTGGACTTGTGGTGGAAACCAGAGCACCCTAAGGAAACCCACGCCAACACGAGGAGAACATTCAAACTCCATAACCGCAACTGACCCAACCGAGTTTCGAATCAGTGACCTTCTTGCTATGAGGCAAAGGTGCCACCCACTGCGCCACCATGCAGCCCATTATTATTATTATTATTATTGTTAATGTTGTTTTTGTAGCTAAATAAATTTCTAAAAACAAACGATCAAAAATAATAAACAATAAAAGCATTATAAATAGGTAAAAACAATTTATAACAATAATTGATGATTATAATAATAATAATAATTAAAAAAAATTTCTTAGTTAAAATCTTTGTAAATTGCTAAAAATAAGCTATTATAAATAGTAATAATAATAAAAATAACAATAGTAATATTTAAAAATCACAATTTTTAACAATTATATATATATTTTTAAAAAAATTTTACATTAACGAATTATTTTAGATTAATTAAATTATTAAATAATTATTAAATATTAAAATTATTATCAATATTAAACACTGAAACATTAATAATGTATATTTATTAATAAGTCTTAAATATATTTATACATTTTTAACCAGTATTAATGGATGTTAATAAATATAAACAATAATAAATAAAACAATAAAAAATAAGCAATGATAAATACAAGCAAGGGTGGCGCGATGGTGCAGTAGGTAGTGCTGTCGCCTCACAACAAGAAGGTCGCTGGTTCGAGCCTTGGCTGGGTCAGTTGGCATTTCTGTGTGGAATTTGCATGCTCTCCACGTGTTGGTTTGGGTTTCCTCCAAACACCTGCTATAGGTCAAGCTAAATTGTCCGTACTAGTGTATGTGTGTGAATGAGGGTGCGTAAAACATATGCTGGACATGTTGGCGGTTCATTCCGCTGTGGTGACCAGATTAATAAAGGGACTAAGCCGAAAAGAAAATAAATGAATGAAATAAAAGGAAATATTTAAATCTAGGAAATATAATGTCTGTCCAATTCTATAATCTGATGATAAACTCACTTGAAGGCATTGTAAATGGGCCGGAACCAGCACACATAAGAGCAGGGTGTGAAGAGAATCACCCAAATCATCGACATGCCAAAGTTTGTGACTCCACCGCCACCAAACATCCACGCCATACAGCCGAAGAAATTCACCAGCAGGGTCACGCCGTACACTGAAAACATGAGCATACGTTACTTTTATACACACATGAAAATGGGTTTCTGAAAGAGAGACGAGGAAAGCAGAAATCTTCCTTTCTCAAAAGTGCACAGGAGAATAAAGTCTGCATTGTGTCTCTTCAGAGAGAGAGAGAGAGAGAGAGAAATGACTGATCTGTGTTTGCTGTCTGTCAACAGTAAATGCTTTAACCATACAGAGTATTACATCAGGCCGACAGGAGGAAGGTTAGGCATTATAAAAGACATGCAATCAAAAAATTAATGAATGATTGGATGAAATAATGATTGAATGAATGAATAAAATAAGTAGATAAATAAATTAATTAATTAATTAATAAATAAATAAACAAACAAACAAACAAACATTTTTGGTTCCGTGCCATGCAAAATATTTTCAATATATTCAACATTTAAATAAATAATAACATAAATAAATGAATTAATAAATAAATCAAAATAAATTAATAAGCAAACATTTTTGTTTCATGCCATGCAAAATATTTTCATTACTTTCAGCATTTAAATAAATTATAAAATAAATAAATAATTGAATGAATGAATTATGTAAATAGTAAATAAATAAATAAATTAAATAATTAATTAATATTCCTGGTTCCATGCAATACAATACATTTTCAATATTTAAATAAATATAAATAAATAAATAAATAAAACAAACATTTTTTGTTTCATGCCATGCAAAATATTTTCAATATTTGCAACATTTAAATAAATAATAAAATAAATAAATGATTGAATGAATGAATGAATGAATGAATAAATATTCTTGGTTACATGCAATGCAATATATTTTCAATATTTAAATAAATAAATGAATGATTGAATGAATAAACAAACAAACAAACAAATAAGGAAAGAAAGAAATATTTTTGTTTCCATGCCATGCAAAATACTTTTAATATTTAAGTAAATAAGTAGATAAATAATGTAAAAACAATTGAATTAATACATAAATATAAATAGATAAAAGTATTAAAAAAATAAATAAACATATTTTGGTTCCAAGCCATGCTAAATATTTTCAATATTTAAAATAAATAATTAAATATATACATAAATAAATAATAAAAAATGTGTTCTATGCCATGCAAAAAAATTACATACTTTTTTTTTACTAAACAATAATAACAAAATAAAAAGAAATAAAATAAAATACATCATGCAATCTAAATACATTTCTTTTTTACATTTATTTCATTAAAAAACATTAGAAAGCATGCCTTTTGCACTCAAAAGAAAAGATAAATACCTTTGGAGGCATCAGCTGCAGGTAATATCTACAGCAAAAGATGACAATAATTTAATGACATGAATTAAAGTATTATTACTTTTTGCTTTAAGTTGATAAATAACCTTATGATAAATTTGATAACATTTCTATAATTATTTATATATTTTTTGTAACTTGTAATACTCCAATAACCTTTTTTTTCTTCTTTTTATAATCATATTTACAGTATTAAACCTTTCAGCATTTCCATTATTTTACCACAAGGACGCAAAGTTTCTATAAATTGTATCATAGCTGTTGCAAATGCTGTATACAGCTGTATTTTTAGAAGCATTTATTGTAGTATTATTATTATCAAATTGTATAATTGGACACATTAAAATGGACTATTAAAGATAACGAGATCAGCTTCAGGTACTATCTACAGTAACAAATGACATTAATTAATTTAAAGTATGCTTTGTTTCAGTGTTTTGTCCCTATAATATTTGAAACAATCCTTAATAGCTGCTTGAAACTAAATCTGCATATTGATTTCATTAATACAGTAAACAAATGTGGTGAATAATCAAGTATGAATCACCATTAATGTTAATTTAAATTCTTCAGCCATAATTTTGATGTTATATTAAACATACGTATAAAAATAATGTGAGTTATTATTATATACAAGTGCTGTTTTACAAAGAATGATGAGTGTATGTGTGTGTAGATATTATATATATAATACTGTGAAAATGCCTGTGCTCTGTCTGAAAATATTTAAAAGAATAATTACAATTTTACAGGAGGGTGAATAATATTGCAAAACACTGCATAACTGATGCCAGCAGAGTCTTTACATTTACATTTATTTGTTTATTCATAAGTGGGTAGAGCTGTCGCCTCACACCAAGAAGGTCGCTGGTTCACGTCCCGGCTGGTTCACTTGACATTTCTGTGTGGAGTTTGCATATTCTCCCTGTGTTGGCATGGGCTCCGGTTTCCCCCACAGTCCAAACACATGCGCTCTAGGGGAATTGGGAAAGCTAAATTGTCCGTATAGATTATGAATGTGATTGAGAGTGTATGGGTGTTTCCCAGTGATGGGTTGCAGCTGAAAGGGAATTTGTGGGCTGATTTCATGTGTGTGTGTGTGTCTGTGTTTTAGACTCACAGATCCACAGGTAGTAGAATCTCTTGCACAATGTGCGGTGCTGGTCAGGAATCTCCTCAAAGTCCTGGTGGAAACACGGCTTGAGAGGAATGAAGCCCGGCAGAGGTGGAAAGTTGTTTTCTGCAGGACAAACACACACACAGCGATGCACTGGCGTTCAGTAAGGCTTTCTATTACGTGATATTCATGCAATTATTAAATCAGTGGTGTAATTAACGTCCTTACCAGCCATCGTGAAACTTCCTGACAGCAAACTGTTCTTAAGAGCTTTCAATCTACAAGAGAAACACATATTTAAGTCAGAAAATGGGATCTGGATCAAATAAAATGTGCAAAGGTGATTTTAAATGCACAAAGAGAATATTAAATGCAAGTAAAGTATCTACACTGTTGAAAATGACTAGGCTGCCTTATTTTTTTTTAGATGAAATCAAACTACTATTAGTCATTTTAACTGTAAATTATATTACACTGACTTAAGATAGCTTGTTTACATACAAAGTTAAGTAAATAATAAATAATATGTACAGTACTTTACATTCATTTAAATAAAATAGACAATAAAAAGCACTATTAAGTAAGTGTGAGTAACTTATTTTCTTAAGTTATATTTTAACATAAAACATATGATGTCATGACTTATTGATCATGCTTTAATATATATATATATATATATATATATATATATATATATATATATATATATATATATATATATATATATATAACTTAAATTAAATTAAATTAAACCTATTTTTTTAATTGAATACTATTAATTTCAAATGACTGAAGCTAATATATTTTGTGTATATACACTGACTGGCCACTTTATTAGGTACACCTTACTAGTACCAGGTTGTGCAACAACCATGCCACGGTCAAAGTCACTTAAATCCCCTTTCTTCCCCATTCTGATGCTCACTTTGAACTGCAGCAGATCGTCTTGACCATGTCTACATGCGATTGGCTGATTAGAAATTTGCGTTAACGAGCAGTTGGATCGGTGTACCTAATAAAGTGGCCAGAGAGTATATATCACAATTGCTGTACTTATTACAATATATCAAGAAACAGGTGACCATACAAAGTTTGAGTTTACACCTTAAGCTAGCCCGGATTCTGCCTATACTCTGGTCTGCACTGCTCAAATGTTGTATTTCAGACTTTATTTCTTAGCTCCTGTGTGTAGCAGTAGCCTCCTCCACATCTCCTTCAAGGCCTTCTGTTGTGTTTTGATGTGATCTCTGACTGTTGCAGCTCTGAAACAACTCTAATCATTGAGCGTAGTGATATGGAGCTGCAATGCGCTCCAAACCTGCCGGATCTACTTTAGCTGTGCGTTTGAAAATAACGCCTCACCAATCAGAATCAATCATTCAACAGCCTTGTAGCATAAATACTAGACAGAAGGTTAAATTCTGAGCATTTATAACACAGAAAATAAAGAAATACAGCAACTATTCCAAGTGTAGGTTTATTTTGTTTGTTTCTCAAACTGTTTTCAATGATTTAAGTGCTGAAAGTCACTGTGTTAAGAGTTCTGGATTAAAATGATCCAAGATATATGTGTGTTTTCTATAATGACACATAAACAAACGCGGATAGCATCATATCTCAGTGTTCATTGTTCATAAACCGTCATTTTCTGTGTTAGCTTCTCGGTTTTCTCATTTATTCCTCCGTCATGTCAGCTGAAGTTAAGCCTGAGCTGCATTAACACAGTGAATGAGAGGACGGTAATCGCCTTACCTTCTGCACACACACCGCCAGCACTACAATGCCATGACTTCACCCTTCAAATACACTAAATAAACACTAAAGCAAGCGGAGATGCTCGATTATTAACGCTGTTTCTTTCTTCAAGATTCCTGCGATCTTCATTGAGCGATAGTAAACAGTTCCCGCATTCCCAGACTGCGCTTAAAGGGTTTAGCCAATAGACTTGCAGAATTATGTTCTGAATACGCCCTCCTCCGTCTCGTTGGCCAATCAGCGGGCTGGAACGCGGTTGCTCTCCGATGTGCTGAAGTTGTTTGGTGGACGTGTTAAAGACTGAGACCTTTGACCTCCAGACTTGCCTGATTGTTTGGTTTAATTACCTGTATAGATCATTTAAATAAATGCGTTCTCAAATTAACGAAAGGAGATTTTAAGTAAGCTAAAATAACATATATATATATAATATGAGCAATAAAATGTTAAGTGTTAGTGAAATATGTGCCTTCTGACATGCAAAGAAATTAACTATGTGCATATAGAAACTGATGTCATAAAGGCACGTCTTTCACTAAGATTAATTTTGCATTATTGTTTGAGTGCATACTCTTTCTATTTATTTATTTATTGCACTTGTTTTATTATGAAAAGCTACCAATATCTACTTACAACATATATTTTAAATCTAAAACAGTGATGTATCGTTTTGAATAGAATAAGATACATGTCGTTTTTTAAAAAATATATGCTTTAAGTGGGTATTGGTAGCTTACTTTTCAAAATACACAATACAAATAATAAACAATTGCACATGCAAATAATAAAAATAATTTGCATTCAAGCAATATTGCAAAATAATAAATTTATTCCTTAAAATTGCTTTAACACAACTGATTCACTGTTTATTAATACTTGAACAACTACTCTGCAAAAAAAGTTGTTTGATTTAAAAAAAAAAAATATATATATATATATATATTTTTTTTTTTTTTTTTAATCGAACAACATTCAGATATGCAAAGAAATGATGTATTTACATATTTAAAAAAATGATGTCAAAAAGAAACACTCAGGTGGGACAGTTTTAATGACAAGGCAATATTTGTTTAGATGGTAAAATAGGAAGAATAGTATTTTTTTTCTTTCTTTTTTTTTAAATATTGCTTAATGTATTTGGTGCTTTAGGATGATAAAAAGCCTTTAATGATAACATTTCTACAAAATGTAAAAATTAATAATCCTCTAAATACATGTTCATCAAATAGAGACATACATACCATCTCAATGAGGTGATGTCATTGGCCTATCAACATTTCCTGCCTGTGTCAAACTATTTCATAACTTTAACAGGAGGCGATTCCATCATAACTTAACATTAAAACAGCTGTCATTACATTATTCATCAATATGTGGACATTTTGGGATTCTCAGAAGCAACAGAAATTAAAAATGTAAAACAGAAAATATGTTAGAACATTTATTTTGTTTACATCCATTAAAATGGCCTATATTTGAATTAAATGTATTTGAAAATTTGAGTTGAATTTGAATTTAATGTATTTTTGAATAAATTAATGCATAGAAAAAAAACACAATAAACACCAACAGACACCTTAAGGGTTAAAAATCGAATGTAGCAAGACTGAAATATATCTATTTGTTGTAAAACTACAGTAACCTTTGCTTTATTTCAATTAAAAAAGGGGAAAAGCCTTCCTGTATTTGCATTATTTTGCCACTAAGGGGCAGAGTTTCCATAAATGATCTGATAGCTGCTGCAAATGCTGTATTTATAAACACTGAAAAAACAGAAAAAATTAAATAATAAATAAATAAAATAAACACTAAAAAAGATGATGTCTGCAAAATTGTTGAATTTAAACAGACAATTAAATGTAGGAATGTTCAACTTAATCAGTTTGTTTAAATTCAGCCCAAATAAATTGTTTACAATCATTTAACTTAAAAAGTAGTAAGAAATCATCTTTGAATATATTTTTTAAATCTTTGAATTGAGTTTATATAACTTTAAGACTATTTAAAACATATTCATCCAATATGTATATGATCGGAAACATTTAAACGCACTATTAAAAATAACTATCTTTCCATCTGTCCATCCATCCATTCATCCATCCATCCATCCTGCCATCCATCCATTCATTTATCCATCCATCCTCTGTCCATCTGTTCGTCCATCCATCCATCCATCCATCCATCCATCCATCCATCCATCCATCCATCCATCCATCTATCTATCTATCTATCTATCTATCTATCTATCTATCTATCTATCTGTCTGTCTGTCTGTCTGTCTGTCTGTCTGTCTGTCTGTCTGTCTGTCTATCTATCTATCTATCTATCTATCTATCTAGTTATTTTGGGGACATAATATCTGATGAACTGCATGCAACTAGAGAAGGATGCGCGTGGAGATTACCGTGCGTGCGTGTATGTGTGTGTGTTCGCTCATAATCTGTCTCTCAGAGCATCATCATCATCCTCATCTCGTGTCATTCAGATGAGAGATTCAGAGAGCGCAGAGCTCTCAGGATGCCTCTGTTTCTGCTCGGACAGCTTGGATAAGTTGAAAACAGCTTTAGTTCTGCAACACAATCGTGGGACTAAATAATAACATGATATACAAGATGATGCGAGCCTACAGACCGGTGAGTTTAAGTTGCTTTCTAATTAATAATTCGATTGAATTCAAATCATTGAGGCACTATCACAAACGTCCACTTATCCAATTTAAAGCACGTTCAATTTGCTTATTTATGTTTTGCATATAGCTATAGTGTTTTAACCATGCTATAGTAAATGTATTATTGTTCACAACACTTACAGCACACTGTAATAAACACTGTAGTATACTTTAGTTTTTACTACAGTAAACTGTGGTGATTGTGGTATACTATACCTATATAGTTGTAGTAAACTACAGTATTGGGTCAATTGTTTATATTATTGTAGTTCTTGAGTTACCATAGCAACTATTGAACTACCCACAACAGTTTGATTGAAGTACTTTACTATAGTACAGCTCAAAAGCACTAAAGTATTTATTATTGTTTTTTTTTTCATGTGGAATGATTCTTTTTGCAATTTGTATTTTTTTAAATACTGTTTTTCTCACTGGCTTTGGTGTATTTCTCACACTATTTACATTTGCGTTCCTCAAAACAATTAGTCGTCTGTGCACATCACAGTAGCAGTTTCTCATTCCTTCCAGCACAATGCAAATGCTTTTGGACATGCATCAACTGCTTTCACACAACCCTCTGCTGTTTATAACATTATCATTCACTTATGTCATGTATAGTCACTCTATAACTAAAACTAATAGTCCTCATTGCATTACTTAAGTCATTACAAAAATGTCGGACTAGGTGTCAAAATTTGTCAAGCTAATTTTATATATATATATATATATATATATATATATATATATATATATATATATATATATATATATATATATATATATATATATATATATATATATATATATAAAAGATTACTTTTTTCCTAAAAATGTATTTTAAAATTCCTGAATGATTTATAGACATATGTATGTTGTAGGTTCAGTTACAAATATGCACTGTAATATTGTTTACAGTCGTGCACAGCTCTGCCCATTGGGAGTCTATGTGTGTTGTAAAAAAGGCGGTATTTATGCTTTTGCACAATGCTGTGAACAAAATTAGAATTGCAACGAGCATATAGAGTAAAAATATGAAACATACATTTTTAGTGTCTTGTTCTCAGATACCTCACTAAATGCAGTGATTTCTAACTTTACTGTAGCCTTCAAATGGCTGTGCATATAGTATATAGTGCTGTCTTGAGCATAGTCAAGAAGTCTGACTTTTTTGCATTGGGAAAACATGTACAGAGTAAACTGTCCTAATGAAAACAAGACAAAGCCATTAGACTATCTTGTTCATGTTCAATGGTACCAGGAATCTTCATCTTGATGACACTGACACTTTCATTTACATCAATACTGGCTTTTGAGGAATGAGCTCTCCATTCTGAGCAAGTGACGCGCTTCTGCAGGTTATCAGCTAGGTTTCGCAGTTTGCACTAATTGTTTTGAAAAATGCACAAACTGTTGTGCAAATGTAAAGAGTGTTGTGAGAAATGCACCAAAGCGACTTAAAAAAAACTGTAATAACTCATCTCTAATAACTGATGTATTTTCTCTTTGTCATGATGACAGCACATAATATTAGACTAGATATTCTTCAAGACACTAGTGTTCAGTTTAAGGTGAAATTTAAAGTCTTCACTGGGGTAATTAGGTTAACTAGGCTGGTTAGGGTGATTAGAAAAGTTATTGTATAATGATGGTTTATTCTGTAGACTATCAAAAATATATAGCTTAAAGGGGCTAATAATATTGACCTTAAACAATATATATATATATAATCTCTAAGGCCAAAGACCAAAATAATAATAATAATAATAATAAATAAGTGCAGAAGGGTGACTTAAAATACACACTGCTGTTTCAATTTAGCTTTTGTTTATTTTATTTAAACCATGGCTGTGAGGATTAGCTTACCTCAGAAGACCCCAGTGTTTCAGGCACAACGCAAGTGTGTGTGTGTGTGTGTTGTATGGTTGACTGTAGCAAAACCATTAAAAGGCTCATAAATCACACAGAATGAGGTATTTAAAAAACAAAAAATAAATAAAAATACACTTTATTAGGTACACCTTACTAGTTCCAGGTTGGAGCCCTTTTGCCTTCAGATCTGCCTTAATAATTGGTGTTGTAGATTCAACAAGCTGCTGGAAATATTCCCCAGAGATTTTGCTCCATATTGTCATGATAGCATCACACAGTTGCTGCAGATTTGTCGGCTGCACATCCATGATGCCAATCTCCTGTCCCACCACATCCCAAAGCTGCTCTATTGGATTGAGCTCTGGGGACTGTGGAGGACATTTGAGTACAGTGAACTCATCGTCATGTTCAAGAAACCAGTCTGAGATGATTGAGCTTTATGACATGCTGCGTTATCCTGCTGGAAGTAGCCATCAGAAGATGGAGACACTGTGCTCATAAAGGGATGGACATGGTCAGCAGCAATACTCAGGTAGGCTGTGGCGTTGACACCATGCTCAATCCAGTCTGGCCATTCTCCTCTGACCTCTGGCATCAACAAGGCATTTGCACCCACAGAACTGCCGCTCACTGGATATTTCCTCTTTGTCGGAGCA